GTGTAGATCAATGCTTGGGTCCCACGCCATACAAAGAAGCCCAACTGGGCAGTAGATTGGAAACTAGTTAAGCACTGGACATTTAATGGGCCAAAAGCCCATTTCGAGCTGGGCTGATATGATCACCCATTTATGGGGCGAATCTGGGATTAGAGTTAGTAAAAGGAATGGGCCTTTAACCTTATCCACTCAGGGAGACCAAATTCAAATCAGATTTGAATCTGGTAACCTCCTGATAAGATCAGGAATAAGCTAACTTAATCTTCAGATAGGATTGAGATCATCCCCTATCCAAATACTGATTTGGATTGGGATAACTCCTAATTAGGAGGTTTCTTAATCAAGAAGAAAAGAGGAGAAACCCTAAGAGAGAAAATCAATCAGATTTCGAACCTAGGGTTGTGTGCAAGAAACCTGCGAATTGAGATAGGATCTCATACACACTCCAGAGAAAAGAGAAGCAATTCAGCCATTTTCGTCCCAGGAGTTCTCCTTCAGCCGCCACCATTCTTTCTGGCAAGATTCGATCTTTGAGGAAGAAAGAAATCAAGAAATCAATTCTTGACATCAGTCTTGCAGAAAAGACTRAAAAAGATTYGGTGCTCAGAGTTTCCAGAGGATTCTTGCGAAGGATCCAGTGTGTAGGACGCACTCTGCTGGTTCCGTTCCACATACAGCTATGTCATCTTCAGCAGGAGCGGATCTTAGTGTCATCTTTGGGTGTGAACACCAACTTTGGGAGATACTGCTTCTCTGGATCAGGTATAATTCCTCCATTCCCTTTGGTTCAGATTTGGTTCGATTATGGTTCAAGTAGGATCCTTGAATATTGTATTCTAAATTTAGGGAATACGATTCCCAGTTGGAAGAAGGTAGGAAAATTTTTGAAATTCGCCCACCCATTCCACAATCTTCATAGCGTCCATTAGATGGATCCTACCATTCTTTCAAGGTGTACCATATCGTATCTTTGGGTCTCCAAAACACTAAATATTAAAAGTTTTCAAGGTTGGTTTGTTTTATATAATTTTATATGATGTGACAACATGTCTGACAAAATATAAAACAAACAGTATAGGTTTGATCATTTTAAACTCTCGATACACAAAATTTGTGTATCACAGTATCAATACTTTGAACCATGTGCATAACTAGTACTTTGAACATAGAAATTCTAAAAAAAAGTAATGGAAAGTTTCTTGATTTTCTTTTTTTTCTTAAAAATGTCATGATCCAACGATCCAAGAAATGCTAATGTCTTTCACGTGAACAATAGATAAAAGAAATGGAATATAAACATCATACCTCTTATGTAAAAATCCAAAAAGGAGCAGAAAAGATTACTAGCGTGTCATATTTCGCCACTTGTCCTTCAAATCAACCTGAACATTGCAATCTCTAATAAGAACAACGTAACTCTCTGAAACAGTAATTAAGTTCACTTATGGCAATTGACCCCACTGGCCAGAAGGCCAAAACCCCCTACTAGGGATGATCATGGACCAGGCTTAACACCTATGTTAAGGGCTATAGCCGAGGCTCAGGCCTGGGCCAAGTTCCAGGCCTATGACTTTAAATATAAATATTAAATGTATATGATATTTTATATTATATGAGATATAAAATCTGTTTAAAATTTATGTTATACATTATATAATATAAAATATTATATATAATGTGTATAATAGGTGTCATGTTATGATATACAACCTAAAATATTACATTCTATCAAAAAAACCTAAAATATTACAAAAATTAACATGTATCATAAGTGTGGATCAGACCTAAAGTATTGGCCCAAGCATGGCACAGAAATTTCCAAGCTGGGCCAGGCCGAGCTATAAATGATCACCCCTACCCTTTACTCCCCATTTACTGTATTAGGGTCCAGGCAGTCAGTAGTTACTTAAGCATATAAGTTGAACACCAAAATCCTTACTTAATATTAATTATCTTACAATAACAAAAGATACTATATTATTTGCTTATATTAGAGAAGTCCTTAATATAATAATTGATATAACAAAATATCCATTCTTGCAGACAAGGTGTTCAAAGGTTCCCAATTGACTGGGAAACAAGGGAATAGGCAGGGAAAAGACAGGAAATAAAGATACGACTTACCATGGTTCGAAATGAAATTTTTCTATCTATCAGAAATTTTTTCTATTTTTCAATTTGCATGCTTGCTAGTTAGTATATAATATAAAACAAAGAAATTAACCTAGAGATTAAGTTTTCCTTTGTCAAATTCCACCACCCAGGTGGGCACTTAAGAGTTCCACTGTTTCCAAGAATCACATAACACCTTGACACCTATGTATGAAATTTTGAAATACTTCAATTTTCCTAGTGGTAAAGCTAATACTTGTTTTTAGCATTTACCTATGCAATTAATGCGGTAGCTCAATATAGTTATTTCTCTGAAAGTAGATAAATAAAATTCTAATTTTAGTCAATAGACATTGTCTGATTAATGAAATGCCTTGGGATGTCAGAAGTTCTATATAGGTTGCCTACACTGCTTGAGTTCAAAACATACTTACCTCAGTCCTCTCTTCAAATACATCACGATAGCTATTTAAAATGAACTTCCAATTCCCTCTTCCATACCTTCACATGAAAAGAAAAATGTGAATGTAAAAATGACTATCCTCATCAAATTACAGCATAATTATTTACTGAAACATAAAAACATGTAAAATAAACATCCAAGTAACTTATGAGAAGACATGTAGATAGGCATAACTTTTAGTAAGACTCCGCCAAAAGCAATGATGATGAAAATAATAGCCATGTTGAAAGGCACACATACTTTTCTACAGCAGCTCTCAAAGTTTCTTCTTCCAATGAACTCCACCTCTTAGTCTTCCTCCTCCTAGCAAATTTCATCGTTTCATACTTCTTTAAGGGAGAAACAGCCCTTTTCTTTGGACTAGGTAAGTGAAGTTTCTCTGAATGACTTGATGATCCTTCAGGTCGGTCCTGAACATCATCCCACTGTAGAGAGAAGATCCTATTAGTTAAAGAAAAAACAATAGACTTAGATTAAGCACATCTTCACACAGCACATATTTAAGAATGATTCATTTTATTCTCAACAGCAACACATTAAGTTTAACAGCTTGCCAAGATAGATTTATCACCCTAATCTAAATACTCCAAATTACTTCCTGAAAGATGCCTAAAATCGGATGGACTTTAAAGCTGGTTAGAACTCATAAAAAACCTTCTACAATAACTATTTGAGCTACTACAAGTTTGAAATGATTTTCTAGCAAGGAAATAGCTTGAAATAAATATTAAACATAATTAAGGAGCAAGAAAAATAAAGATTAAGAGAAAAAGATAATTAGAGGAGTCATGCTTCTCTTCCCGAATCAAGTATGGGGTAACATATAACTCAATACAAGGCTTTTCATGGAGTCACACCAAGGAAGGGAAGTTCTTGAGCATCATATGATCATGAATAGCCTAAAACTTTAGTTAGTTTGGTTTGATCATTTGATGTATCTTTTTAGTTATTTTAATAATTAGAAATTCAGTCAAAAAGTCTGTTAGGTATTCAAGTCCACTAAACTAGCGAATGATTAAATACAAAATTAGACAACTGCATTAGAAACAAGAAGTTCTAAAATAAGTAGAACTAAAATAGAACATGTGCAATGTAAATTTAATAATAATAGGAGTGCAATTCAGGGTACACTTAAGATTGGAGACCAAGAGATAACTCAACGTGACCTCTGCCATTACAGCAAGATGGGCAAAATGGAAGGATTTGTTGGGGCCCAAACACCCCCTTCGAACCCAACTACAGATGTGGAGCAGACCTCCAAATTGAGGTCAGACTTCACCAGGTGGTGAACGAATTCAAGGAACTCAGAGTGCTTGTCTCCAGTATCGCCTCTCAGCAGCAGACCGGTGAGACCAGCCACCTAGCAGGAGCGGAAGCCTCTGCTTCCAGTAGCCAAAGGACAGGGGGTTACCCCATCAGGAAAGTCACTAAGATCAATTTTCCCAACTATTCCGGTGGAGATCCTATTCCTTGGATCTTCTGCACAGAAAGATACTTCGAGTACCATGAAACTCCTGCCCACCAACGTGTCTCCATCGCCTCCATTCATCTAGAAGGAGACGTGATTCTATGGCGCCAGAATCATCCCCATGTTACTTGGTTGGAGTTCACCGAAGCCTTGTGCATCCGCTTTGGGCCGATGGTGTTCGTGGACTATGACGAGTTGATCACTAGGCTGAAGCAGACTGGAACGGTAGCAGAATACCAACTCGAGTTTGAACGGATGGTGACCAAGGTGCATGGCTGGCCGGAGAAGGCCTTAGTAGGGTGTTTTGTGGGAGGGCTTAGAGAGGATATCCACCTAGAAGCGAGAGCACTCCGCCCGGCGACTGTCATGGCTGCAGTGGGATTAGCTCGCCTGTAAGAAGAGAGAATTGATAACCTTCGTCAAGCTAGCAAACAACCCTACCCAATCTTGAAGACTCCTCCACAGGTCGACCAATTGCCCATGAAACCGGTTGGTGATCCTCCTAAGCCCATACTACATCGGCCCACTATGCCTTTCAAGCGCCTCTCTTGGGCTAAGATGCAAGGCCCGACGCGAGAATGGCCTTTGTTATAACTATGATGACAAGTTTGGAGTGGGCCATAAATGTCGAGTCCAGCGGGTATTTCTCCTACAGACAGAGGAAGAGCCAGACGAGTCCAACCCAGAGAACTCGACTGAATGTGAATTGATTCCAGATGGTCCAAAACCTGATGGGGCTGAGATCTCCTTGCATGCCCTCATGGGCCTCAACTCTCCATTTCATGCGAGTAGAAGGGAAATTGATGGGCCGGACCGTGATGATTTTAATTGACAATGGCTCCACCCTGAATTTCATCACTTGCCGCTTGGCTAAGCAGCTAAGTATGACCATACAACCCACCCCTCTCTTTTCAACTCATGTGGCTAATGGGAATCAGATGTCATTTAATGGTGTATGTAAGAAGGAGAAAATCCTCATACAAGGCCATAATTTCGCGGTGGATCTCCATCCATTGGATTTCTCGGGGGCTGATATTATTTTGGGGGTTCATTGGTTGCGTGGTTTGGGCCCTGCACTATGTGATTAGGCCCAAATGACAATGGATTTTCACCAGGATAGCCAGTCTTGTCATCTACAGGGGGTGCAGCCTCCAGGCCCTCAAAGTGATACTTTAACCTCCATGATACGGGCCTCCAAAGCTGCAAGTCAACCCATATTTATGCACTTGGGCCTTCGGCCCACAGTTCCAATTTTGGACAACCAAGGTTGTGTCCACCCCACTGAAGTTCAACAAAGGGCCCTACGACCGATACTCAATCAGTTTGTTGATGTATTTGAGGAGCCAAACCAATTACCCCCATCCCAGACTCGTGATCATCAGATACCTCTCTTACCTGGCTCTAATCCAGCCAATGTAAGTGTTATGGGCCCGCGCGTAGGATCTCGTCACAGGTCGGTCCACCGGAAGAGACTCCTGTCTTCCCTTGCCCTTGCCCTTGCGTACAGACCCTATTGTGGCAATCACGTGGGTGATTTGTCCAAGAGATCACCCGAACTCTCCTAATGGGTGATTTGTCCAAGAGACCACCCGAACTCTCCTCACTCTCTTTCTTGGCTGGAAAACTGAATGCCTTTATTTCAATTCGTGGCTCCTTAAATAGGAGATTACAGAAGGAAATTCCTAATTAAACTCAAACTCCAACTTGAACTCAAACTCCTAATTACCTACTCCTAAAGGTAACACAACTCTTACTGAAGATAAGATAAGGATAAGGATAAGGGATGAGGAATGGTGTAGYTGGCGGCGAGTTGGCGGGCAGAGCTGATGTGGTAAGATAAGTGTGGACCCACCCTGATGAGCTGTCATGTGGGCCCCGCCCTACTACTGCTGCCCGGGCGGTGCGCGCGTCTCGCAGTGCTGCTGCCGTGTGGTGCGTGCTGCTGTAGTGCGGTGTGTGCTGCTGCCGTGCAGTGCGCGTTGCTGCCTAGTGCTGCTGCCGTGTGGTGCGTGTTGCGCGCTGCCGGGCGGTGCATGCTACTATGCGCGCTGCCAGGCAGTGCGTGCTGCTGTGTGCGCTGCCGGGCGGTGCGTGCTGCTAGGCGGCCCGCTGTGTGTGCTACTGCCTATGACTGCGTCATAGTGCGCTACCGGGTGGTGTGTCCATAACAATAAGGCCATATAGATACCCTTACTTTCAAAAGCTGGAAATTGAGAAGGCAGTAAGAGAGTTATTGGAAAAAGGGCATATACAGACCAGCACCAACCCTTTTTCATCTCTCGTGCTCTTAGTAAAGAAGAAGGATGGTAGTTGGCGCTTGTGTAGATTACCAGGCCTTAAATCAGACTACTGTGAAGGACAAGTTTCCTATACCCCTCATTGATGAGTTGCTTGATGAGTTAGGAGAGGCACGAGTGTTCTCCAAATTAGACCTGCACTCCAGGTATCATCAGATCCGGGTTCACCAAGCTTATATCCACAAAACGGCCTTTAGGACCCACAATGGCCATTATGAGTTCTTGGTTATGCCTTTTGGGTTCACAAACGCCCCCTCAACCTTTCAGGCCATCATGAATGACATCTTCAGGCCATTTCTAAGGCAACTTATTTTGGTATTTTTCGACGATATTCTTGTGTATAGCAGGGATTGGGACACACATATGGAACACCTAAAACTCACCCTCACAACTTTGAGGAGAAATCAGTTACATGCCAAAATGACAAAGTGCTCCTTTGGGCAAGGACAAATTCAGTACCTAGGACATGTGGTTGCAGCGAGTCAGGTCATGGCAGATCCACAAAAGGTAGAAGTCATTCAGAAGTGGCCCAAGCCCACTATTGTAAAAGCATTGCAGGGCTTCCTTGGGCTTACAAGATATTATGGGCGCTTCATTAAGGGATATGGGCTTATGGCTGCCCCACTAACGCGTCTATTGAAGAAAGATTGATTCAGGTGGACTGAGGAAACCCAATGGGCTTTTGAAGAATTAAAGACAGCAGTTTCTAGCCCGCCAGTCCTCACTCTTTCAGACTTCTCTCAGCCCTTTGAAATAGAGTGTGATGCTTCGGGTGTAGGGGTAAGGGTCGTCTTGATGCAAAAAGGGCAGCCCATTGCTTATTTCAGCAAGGCTCTCTCAGTAACTCACCAAAATCAGTCCACTTATGTTAAAGAAATGATGGCTGTAGTGATGGCAATGCAAAAGTGGCGTGCATACCTCTTGGGACGCCAGTTTGTTATTAGAACGGACCAACGAAGTTTGAAGTATATAGAAAAACAAAGGATGCACACCCCAGAACAGCAAAAATGGCTTAGAAAACTGATGGGCTTTGACTACCTCATAGAGTATAAACCGGGGCCCGCAAACAAAGTAGCTTATGCATTGTCACCAGTAGAAGAGTTAACCCAGCTAACCTGCTCTCAGCCCAGCTTCCCTTTATTTGAAGCTATACGACAAGAAACCAGGTCTGATCTATAGTTGCAGGCCATTAGAAATAAGTGGAATCGAGATCCTTCACAAGTTGTTGGTTACCAAGTTGTGGGGCCTGATCTTTTCTTTAGGAGCCGGTTTGTTGTAGCCCAGAATTCGGCCCACAAAGCTGAACTGCGAAGGTTGTTTCACAACTCCGCTTTGGGAGGACACTCAAGGGTGCTACAGACCATAAAGAGGCTCAGCAGCCACTATCATTGGGTAGGAATGTGTAAGGATGTATTACGGTATATATCCGAATGTCAAACCTGCCAACAGCAGAAATACTCATCACAGTCTCCCAATGGCCTTCTACAACCTCTCAGAATTCCAGATCAGGTGTGGGAAGACCTTCCCATGGATTTCATCACGGGTCTTCTTCGTTCTGCAGGAAAGGCGGTTATCATGGTAGTCCGTAGTGGTTGACCGTCTCACCAAGTACAGCCATTTCTCTGCATTACCTCACCCATACACCGCAGCTATGGTGGCT